AGATAAGGTTCACAGGAATATGGGCCAAATGCCTTCAAATGGGACTAGATGTATTTAGGATATCTGGTCGGCATGGATGAGTGGACCGAAGGTTCTGTTTCTGTGCTGTACATCTCTATGACTCTGCTACATGCAAAAAAAGTCTGGGCAACTCTCCCTGGTTCTTTGAATAAATATAAAAATGTCCTTAATATTTCATAAGGTGGTTCATTGTATTTTTCATCCATTTAAAAATTACTTTTGGTAATGCTAGCATAGCCACATTCAGCATGCTTTTTGAATTACTCTTAATGTGGCAATGATGTAACACTTACTTGAACCAGAACTGCCAAGTGACTTACCTTCTGGCAACCTACTTGAATATATCTTTAAGATCATAGATTCTGTACCCTGTACCCATCTTAAATCAACAGGGAAGGAGTCAGTTATTGAATGCAGTAGAGAGAGCACTGAACAACTGGACTGCATTGTTGTGGTGTGGATTAGTTAGCTGGATGGCTGGTTTACGATGAAGAGTGATGCCAGTAGCATGGGTTCAATTCCCATAATGGCTGAGCTCCACATGAAAGTCCTGCCTTCTCAACTTTTCCACCCATCTGAGGTGTGGTGACTCTCACTTTAAATTCAAATGTCTAATTCAAGACCAGACTATGGTGACTTTACCCATAAGAGATAAAAACAGGAGTAAGGCATTTGGCGTCTCAAGCTTGCTTCACTATTCAATAGGATCATGGCTGATCTGACATTCTTCATGTCCACTTTCCTGCTCTTTCCCATAACCCTTGAATCCCAGACTGATCACAAATCTATTTATCTCAGCCTTAAATGCGCATGAGGACTCTGCCCCCACTGCTCTCTGTAGCAAGGAGATCCAAAGATTCACAACCCTCAGAGAAAAGAAATTTCTCTTTACCTCAATCTTAAATTGGTGCACCTTTATTCTGAGACTATGCCCTCAGGCTCTGGACTCTCCCATAAGGGGAAACATCCTCTCAACATTGACCCTGTCAAGCCTGTTAAGAATCCTATATGTTTCAATGAGATCACCTCTCCTTCTTCTAAACTCAAATGATTAGAGTTCAAATCTGTTTAGCTTTTGTTCATAAGACAATCCCTCCATACCAGGGATCAAACTAATGAACCTTATCTGAACTGCCTCCAATGAAATTGTATATTTCTTTAAATGAGGGACCAAAATTGATCACAGTTCTGGATGTGGTCTCCCCAGCACCTTGTACAGTTGCAGTAAGAATTCCCTACTCTTATACTCCAACCCCCTTGAAATAAGGGCCAATGTTCCACTAGCCTTCCTAACTATCTGCCGTACCTATGTGCTATGTGCTTTCTGTGTTTTATGCACAAATAACCCCAATACACTTTATGTTGCAGCTTTTTCCATTTAAATAATACTATGTTCTTGATTCTCCCTTCCAAAATGAACAATTTCACATTTTTCCACAATATACTCCATTTGCCAGCTTCTTGCCCACATACTTAATGTATCAATATTACTCCATAAAATTTTTGCACATTTCCCACAACTTGCCTTTCTACCTATTTTTCTGTCGTCTGCGAATTTGTCTCCTCTCCATAACAGTACATTGTTAAGGAGAGGAGTTCAAACCCCTCTGATAATTAAACTGAAACTTAAGCCCCCAATCTGTAATGGCAGAAATAGAGGTTCCCTTCGAATATTAAAACCCAAAACACCCAGAGAAGCTCGCTTCACCTTTATTATCTGTTAAAAAGAGTGGTTAAATGAAAGAAAATCCCTGATATTCACTTTATAAGTAACAAGTAACAATTTAGTTATTTAGCCCTAAACAGTAAACAAATTAACCGAATTACCAACAAACCAAACAATTCCCCCTTAACTACTAACTATTCCCTAACTGAAATAAATTCTACTGGTATGCTGTTCCAATAAACACAAGTCCCACTTATATAAACCCAAGTATTAAGAAAATAAATTAAAACTCAGTCTCTCAAAGTCTACACGCCTTTTTCTGCTGTTCTCAAGCCAAAAACATCTTTCTTTCGTTGATCCGGCTGTCAGGGATGTTTTCTCTATGAGGTCTACTGTGAGAACTCTTAGCTAGAAGTGATTAGGTAGCTTTTATGGATAGATGGTGCTTTCTTAGAGAGCTTAGCAATTTCTTGCGAGAGCTAGATGCTTATTTCTCCAATGGCGGTTCACTCTCACACCGATTTTCAAAAACCCTCTCCTTATATACCTTCAATGACATAGCAATTTTCTTACAATAGCATTGGTCCAAGGTTGTCAAAATCATCAGACTGAAATTCAATTGGCTTTCAATCGCTAAGTGCTTGGTTTAAATTAATTGACTGATTCCAGCTAGTTACCAAAACATCAAAACAAGCCTAAGGTTTCCAATCACAAAGCCAATTCAACATGTTTCAGTTTCAGAACTGGCTGTACATCTTCAAGTACAAACAGACACATTTTTCTCTGTATAAATCTCTAAGCTTAGAAAAGTACTTTACCTCTTAAAGGAACCATGCATTCATCCCCTCCATCACGTTTACAAGTTGTAGCTTCCTGCCTTCCAATTCATGAGTACTGTATATAACTTTATAACAATATTGGGTCTCTACCTCCAAGTCATTAATATATATTGTAAACAATTGTGGTCCCAGCACTGATCCCTGTGGAACAGGTTGCCAACCTGAAAAAGAGTCCCTTATCACCAATTGCTGTTTCCTGCCCAATTCTCTATCTATCCACCAATATACTACCTCCTACAGCATGGGCTCTTATCTTATGACTTAACCTTTTGTGAGGGACCTTGTTAAATATCTTCTTGAAGTCCAAACGCAACACTAGTTCCCCTCCATGCACTCTGGTTGAAAAAAGTTATTAAGTAGTCTAAAATGATTTCCCTGTCATGAAGCTATGCTGACTCTGCTTGATTAGATTATGATTTTCCAAATAGACCATAGAACATAGAACATAGAACAGTACAGTACAATACAGGCCCTTTGGCCCACAATGTTGTGCCGACCTATTATCCTACTAAGATCAATCTACCCTCCATATCCTACATTTCACTATCATCCATGTGCCTATCCAAGAGTCATTTAAAAGCCTCTAAAGTATCTGACTCCACTACCCCTGCTGGCAGCACATTCCATACGCCCACCACTCTCTGTGTGAAGAACCTACCTCTGACATCCCCCCATACCTTCCTCCAATCACCAAATTATGCCCCCTCATTTCCACCCTAGGAAAAAGTCTCTGACTATCCACTCTATCTATGCCTCTCATCATCTTGTAAACCTTTATCAAGTCACCTCTCATCCTTCTTCGCTCCAATGAAAAAAGTCCTAGCTCCCTCAACCTTTCCTCATAAGACCTGCCCTCCAGTCCAGGCAGCATCCTGGTGAATCTCCTCTGCACCCTCTCTAAAGCTTCCACATCTTTCCTGTAATGACGTGACCAGAACTGGACACAGTATTCCAAGTGTGGTCTAAGCAGAATTTTATAGAACTGCAGCATAACCTCACAGCTCTTAAACTCAATTCCCCTGCCAATCAAAGACAACACACCATACGCCTTCTTTACAACCCTATCAACTTGCGTCGCAACTTTGAGGGATCTATAGATGTGGACCCCAAGATCCCTCTGTTCCTCCACACTGCCAAGAATCCTGCCATTAACCCTGTATTCTGCATTCAAATTCCACCTTCCAAAATGAATCACTTCACACCTTTCTGGGTTGAATTCCATCTGCCACTTGTTTGCCCAGCTCTGCATCCTGTCAATGTCCCGTTGCAACCTACAACAGCCCTCCACGCTGTCCACAACTCCACCAACCTTCATGTTATCGGCAAACTTACTAACCCACCCTTCCACTTCCTCATTCAATCATTTATAAAGATCACAAACAGCAGAGGTCCCAGAACAGATCCCTGTGGAACACCACTGGTCACCAGTGATGTGCCACTTTTACTTCCTTTACAATTGGTTCCAACATTTTTATATGCTTTTTCTTTCAACTTAAAACTCTCCTTAACTTTCTAAGTTAGCCATTGTTTTATCCCTTTATCAGAATCTTACATCCTTGCCTTTATCTTACTGAGGTCAGTGCTTTTGCCTCGATCCTTACAGGAACATACAAACATTGGTGTTGGAGGCGCTTCAAGGGGCCAAAAAACAAGATAGTCAGCACAGAGTAGCTAACGTCTGTAAATTTGGAATCTTGGCAAAGCAGTTGAGTTGTGAGATTTTGAAATTCCTTTCCTCAAAGATGTAAAATTGTAAATATTTTTAAAACAGAGGTAGATAGATTTTTTTAATGACCAAGTGGATGAAAGATTATTGGGGATATGCAAGAATATAGAGTTGAGGTTAAAGCCAAGCCAGCTATGGTCTTATTAGATGGTGGAGCAGACTTGAAGTGCCTAATGACCTACTCTTGTTCCTTTTTTGTATGCTTGTATGTGGCAATGGTGGTGATATTGAAACTCATGTTTGGATTTTTCTAATTTAAGGTATCACAATGCGAATGGAATTTTTCACTTGCCAGTCTATGTCTGGTATTGTACAGAGTAATGATATTCACTGCCTCTGGGTTACTTAATTCAAAAAGGACTGAGAATGGAGCTAAGCGTTTTGTAATGGTCAGTGATCAGTTTCCACCCCTGACTTTATGATGGACAAAAGGCCATTGCTGAGAAAGCTGAAGATAATAGCCATGACTACCTTCCTGTTAGTGACACCCTGTGCTGTATTTTCCATAGGCATTGGGACATCAATCTCTGCACCAAACTGTGGTCCCATCTCTCACATGTCGGCAACAAGATGGGCTCAGCCAGCTTCTGGAGGTTGCCTCCTGATTGACTGCCTCCACCCCTGCTGTACTATTAAGTTCAGTGGGAGGGCTCCCAATGCTGCCAGTCCAATCTTGCTCAGATGCTGACTAATCTCCCTGCATTTCCTCTTCCTAATGTAAGGTTTGTATTTGTTTTCATTCCTTTAGATACGAAGGACGAGTTGAACTCCCAGACAATCTGAAATCCTTATTCCGGCCTGTGGCAATGATGGTACCTGATTACGAGCTAATTGCAGAAATCATGCTGTTCTCTGAGGGCTTTAAATCAGCCAAGTCCCTCTCAGGAAAGATTGTTAATGTATATCAGCTGGCCAGCAAGCAGTTATCTCAACAGGTAGGAACCAATCTTCACCTCTACCTGCTGAGAGAAACCTTTCAAAGGTTATTGAAGCAGCAATAGGACTTGATCTGGATGGAGCCTGATATGGTATTTGTAATCGTGTAATAGTGAAATTGAGGAACTGACAATGTAAACACAGTTTATTAAAGCGATTATTGCACAGCAATTAGATTAAATCCGTGATTTCCCTCAAAGCTATATAATTCAGTCAATCACGCCAGCAATCAGTTTACTGAAGATGTTTGCAACTCGGCCATTGAAACTCAGTGAAACAAACAGAATGACCAAGAGGTCTCAGAACCATCCCAGTTATAATTGCTGAAGCAGCCTGGCCTTATTGGATTCAGCCAGGTGCAGGTTTCTGTTCACTGGGGATTTGGGACAAATGTCCCATTCCTCACCGCTGTTCAGTCAGTCCTGTCTGATGTCTGCACTCTTCACATGTAGGTATGATCAGACCTGGCTGCAGTATCTTTCAAAGTGTAATAGCCAGCTGAGACTCAGTGAATGGTTCACACTGTAAAGAGATCATCAGGGGGATTTAGAAACACAGGAAATAGGGGCAGAAGGAGGCCATTCGACCAATTCTAAATGATCAGGGTCAGGAAGGAGATATCCCTTTCAGAGCAAGACGTAGCCAGAGTGAGTATATAATTCGAGGAATTTGGAGGCGACATGGGAATTTGGTGCAGAGGGGAAGAGGTTCTTTTTGCTTGTTTTGTTGGCTCCTAGTTTATAAGGTTTTTTTTAAACAGGACAATTGAGACCCAGGATCAGGGGCCCAGCGCAAAAGAGTGACATCACAGCTAAACTGCAGGTTAATTGTTTGGTGATAGCTACTAATTTGACTATCTATTATAGGTTACTTTCAGATTGCAGCTGTACAGGAGAAATATTCACAGGCTACAGGCTAAAAGGCCAGTATAAAGATGTTAAAAACAAATTAAGAACTAAATAATTAAAATAGAAATGTGATGTGTTGTAACTGCATGATGTGAGAGCTAGTAGGAACTGCAGATGCTGGAGAATCCGAGACAACAAGGTGCAGGGCTGGATGAACACAGCAGGCCAAGCAGCATCATAGGAGCAGAAAGGCTGACGTTTCGGGCCTAGACCCTGCAACCGCAGGAAGTGCTACACCTGCCCCCATACCTCCTCCCTCACCCCCATCCCAGGACCCAAGAAGACTTTCTACATCAAGCAGATGTTCACCTGCACATCTGCTAATGTGGTATACTGCATTCGCTGTACCCGGTGTGGCCTCCTCTACATCGGGGAAACCAAGCGGAGGCTCGGGGACCGCTTTGCAGAACACCTACGCTCGGTTCGCAATAAACAACTGCACCTCCCAGTCGCGAACCATTTCAACTCCCCCTCCCATTCCTCAGACGACATGTCCATCCTGGGCCTCCTGCAGTGCCACAACGATGCCACCCGAAGGTTGCAGGAACGGCAACTCATATTCCGCTTGGGAACCCTGCAGCCCAATGGTATCAATGTAGATTTCACAAGCTTCAAAATCTCCCCTCCCCCTACCGCATCCCAAAACCAGTCCAGCTCGTCCCCGCCTCCCTAACCTGTTCTTCCTCCCACCTATCCCCTCCTCCCACGTCAAGCCGCACCCCCATCTCCTACCTACTAACCTTATCCCGCCCCCTTGACCTGTCCGTCCTCCCTGGACTGACCTATCTCCTCCCTAACTCCCCACCTACACTCACCTTTACTGGCTCCATCCCCGCCTCTTCGACCTGTTTGTTGCCTCTCCACCTATCCTCTCCTCTATCCATCTTCTATCCGCCTCCCACTCTCTCCCAATTTATTTCAGAACCCCCTTCCCCTCCCCCTTTTCTGATGAAGGGTCTCGGCCCGAAACGTCAGCCTTTCTGCTCCTATGATGCTGCTTGGCCTGCTGTGTTCATCCAGCCCTGCACCTTGATGTGAGAGCTGGTGGTTTTCATTGTGGTTCACAGTGACCACATCTAGAGCAAGTGTTGGTTGCTTGAAGAACTCCAGCTTAGAGCTGATGAGCTGGAGTCTGACCTTTGAACACTGCTGCACATCGGAGGGGAAGAGAGTTATCTGGTCACTGTGTTTCAGGAGGCAGTCAAAGTACCTCAAATTCAGTCAGTGGTCAGGGTCAGGAGGGTGTGACCACCAGGAAGACAGATTCAGGAAGTAGTGCTGAATGAGCCTCAGCTCTTGAGGTTATCTAACAGGTTTGAGATTCTTGCTCCCTATAGGGACAAGAGATGCGGCTGTAGGGAGGATGAGCAAACTGACCATAGCACCATGGTACTGGGAGCTATTAGCATGTGGGGAGAAAAGAGAAATGTGGTTGTAATCAGGGATAATATAGTGAGGGGGAATAGACACTATTCTCTATGGTCAGGAAAGAGAGTCCCGAAGGCTGGGTTGCCTGCCTTGTGTCTGGTTTCAGGATATCTGATCTGGGCTTCAAAGGAACTTTGAGTGGTAGGGGAAAGATCCAGTGCCATCGTCCACGCAGGTACCAACAATATAGGTAGAAAGAGGAAAGAGATTCTGCTGAGGAAATTAGTGTAGCTAAGGGCTAAATTAAAAGGCAAAACCAAAAAGGTAATAACCTCTGGACTACTACCTAAGCCATGAGCAAATTAACACAGGATCAAGAAGATTAAAGAGGTAAACGCGTGGTTCAAAGGTTGGCGTGGGAGAAACAGGTTTAAATTCATGGGACATTGGCACCAGTGTTGGGCTGTTCCGATGGGACAGACTCTACCTGAATCATGTTGGGACCAGAGCCCAGGCGAATCACATAACTCGGGCTGTGGTTAGGGCTTTCAACCAAACAGTGAAGGGATAAGTTTAGTCACATGAAAAATTATGGTAAAAAGATAAAGGAGGGGGCGGGCTCATCAGAGGTTGTTGAAGTTTCAAGAACAAGTAATAGGACAGAGAGTATGGAAAGGGTCAGGAGCCTAACGTCAGGCACAGCAGATAAGGGGACAACTATGAGGCAAGGGGGCAGACAACACAGGACTGAGGGTGTTGGATTTAAATGGATGCATTATATGAAACAAGGTAAATGATCTTGTAGTGCAGATTGCAATTGGCAGGTATGGTGGTGTGAGCATCACAAATGTGGGGCTGCAAGGGGATCAGGGCTGGGAACTAAATATCAAAAGGACAGGCAGATGGGCAGAGGAGGTGACGTTGGCTTGGAAGTAAATTAAATTGATCTCAAGAAGTGATATAGTGTTCGAAGGCCTAGAATCCACGTGGGTAGAGCTGAGGAACCGCAAAGAACAAGGAGCAAAGAAAATTACAGCACAGGAACAGGCCCTTCGGCCCTCCAAGCCTGCGCCGATCCAGATCCTCTATATAAACCTGTCGCCTATTTTCCAAGGATCTGTATCCTTCTGCTCCCTGCCCATTCATGTATCTGTCTAGGTACATCTTAAATGATGCTATCGTGCCCGCCTCTACCACCTCCGCTGGCAACACGTTCCAGGGCATCCACCACCCTCTGCGTAAAGATCTTTCCATGCATATCTCCCTTAAACTTTTCCCCTCTCACCTTGAAATCGTGACCCCTGGTAATCGAGTCCCCCACTCTGGGAAAAAGCTTTTTGCTATCCACCCTGTCTATACCTCTCATGATTTTGTAGACCTCAATCAGGTCCCCCCTCAACCTCCATCTTTCTAATGTAAATAATCCTAATCTACTGAACCTCTCTTCATAGCTAGCGCCCTCCATACCAGCCAACATCCTGGTGAACCTCCTCTGCACCCTCTCCAAAGCATCCACATCCTTTTGGTAATGTGGCGACCAGAACTGTACGCAGTATTCCAAAAGTGGTCGAACCAAAGTCCTATACAACTGTAACATGACCTGCCAACTCTTGTACTCAATACCCCGTCTGATGAATGAAAGCATGCCGTATGCCTTCTTGACCACTCTATCGCCCGGCGTTGCCACCTTCAGGGTACAATGGACCTGAACACCCAGATCTCTCTGTGCATCAATTTTCCCCAGGGCTTTTCCATTTACTGTATAGTTCACTCTTGAATTGGATCTTCCAAAATGCATCACCTCGCATTTGCCTGGATTGAACTCCATGTGCCATTTCTCCACCCAACTCTCCAATCTATCTATATTCTGCTGCATTCTCCGACAGTCCCCTTCACTATCTACTACTCCACCAATCTTAGTGTCATCTGTAAACTTGCTAATCAGACCATCTATACCTTCCTCCAGATCATTTATGTATATCACAAACAACAGTGGTCCCAACACGGATCCCTGTGGAACACCCACAGGAACACCCAAAGGAAAAATGATCCTGATTTGGAGTTGTGTACAGACCTCTGGGCAGTAATCAGGATGTTGGGAAGAAAATAAATCAGGAAATAGAAAAGGCATGTAAAAGAGGGACGATTACAATAATCATGGGGACTTCAATATGCAGGTGGACTGGGAAAATCCGGCTGGTAGCGGATTTCAAGAAAAGGAATTTGTGGAATATCTGCAAGATGGTTTTTTGGGGCAGCTTGTGGTAGAGCCCACAAGGGAACAGGCAGTTCTGGATTTGATGATGTGTAATGACGCAGACTTGACCAGCGAACTTAAGGTGAAAGAACTGCTAGGGGTCAGTGACCATAATATAATAGAATTCACCCTGCAGTTTGAGAGGCGGGCGCTGGAATCAGATGTAACAATATAACAGTTGAGTAAAGGTAACTGCAAAGACATGAGGGATAAGCTGGCCAGAGATGATTGGAAGGGGAGTATGCACCTAAGCCCGCACTTGTAACAACTAGCTGCATTGATTGGTTCCTTAAATTACTGTGCAATCTTTACAAGCAGACCAAATAGCCTCTAGGCTACAACAAACTTCCTAACATTTTCTCTCAATGTCTGTCCTCATTTTTTTATAGAGGAGGAAGGAAGGATGGAATTACTACGGGAATGTAATGTTTGGAGCATACCCTTCCTTAGCACTGAGTTCTTCCTC